AAATACATCTTAAAAGAATAATTAGGTATTTTGCCTTAACTGAGATTGCTTCAGGAATGCAGTGCTTACGATTAGAAAACTGATCAATGCTCTTCCCCTATCGTAACTGACCAGGGGAGAAAACCACACAGTAGTTTGTAGTTTGTTAAGAGTGGCAGAATATTTTAAAAACTTGTACATTCACTGTGCTGGCTGCTTCTATGTCAACTTGACACAAACTCAATTAAGAAAACGCCTCCATTAAACCAGGTTGTAGGCAAGGCTGTAGGGTATTTTCTTAATTGGTGATTGATGGGGAAGACTCAGCCCATTGTGGGTGGTTCTATCCCTGGCCTGGTGGTCCCAGGTTCTACTAAAAAAGTAGGCTGGGCAAGCCATGAGAAACAAACCAGTAAGCAGCACTCCTCCATGGCCTCTGCATCAGCGCCTGCCTCCAGGTTCCTGCCCTGTTTGAATTCCTGTCCTGACTTCCTTCAGTAATGAACAGTGATTTGGAAGTGTGAACCAAATCAACCCTTCCCTCCCCAAGTTGCTTTGGTCATGGTGTTTCTTCACAGCAATAGATACCCTGACTAAGACACACCTGACAAAAACTCTTAAACTGGAGATCACAAGGAATGTCTCTTAAAGTATCATTGTTGGGGTGCACAGGTCAGTTGCCCTTGTTTCAAGAACTTAAAACACCAGTTAGTGTCTCATCAGATAAATCCCACATAGGCTCCCAAGATCCTCGGGCAATATCCATTGCTAACTAGCTCAGCCTACTCCCTTCCAATCAGCCTCCCTTTCTATCGGGCTTCCCTTTCGTTGGCCACACATCACTCAGAGTCACAGTGGGCCTGTGCAGTCAGGGTGCATCCAACCAACCCTGCTTCGTTCCAAACTCCCTCTGTCCTAGTTAGCTTCCTATTGCTGTGATAAACACCATGACCAGAAGCAACTTGAAGGACGAAACAGTTTGTTTCAAGGTGGGAACCTAGAGGCAGGAACTGAAACAGAGACCATGGAGGAACACTGCTTACTGACTTGTTCTCACTCAGCCTGCTTTTTTATACCACCTAGGACCACCTGCCCAGGAGTAGCTCTGCCCACAATGGACTGGGTCTCCCCATATCAAACATTTAATCAAGAAAATGTCCCACAGACATGCCCTCGGTCCAGTGGGATAGTTTGGACAACTGAGGTTTATAGCAAGCTTTTTTTGTCTAACTATCTTGGACTGCCAGCCCACAAATAATGACATGGAGACTTATTATTAATTATGAAAGCTGGGCCTTTGCCTAAGCTTTTCCCAGCTAGCTCTTATAACTTAAATTAGCCTATTTTTATTAATCCATGTTCTACCACATGGCTTTTACCTCACCTTGGTACAGCACATCCGACTTGCTCCAAGTCTGCTGGTGAAATCCTAGCACCTAGATTTCTCCTCTTCTTCCTCACTCTCCCCTGAAATCCTACCTATCCTCTCCTGCCTAGCTACTGTCCACTCATGTTCTTATTGAACCAATCACAGTGACACATATTCACAGTGTACAAAAAGATTATCCCACAACAGAGGGTCCCTCCTCCTAGATGACTCTGGTTTGCATCACATTCACAAAACTAGCCAGCACCCCCCCCCCCTTTGTTTTCCAGCCACAAAAATCTCTTTTGGGGATGAAACTATACAAATACAATGAACTACAGAAATGCACCTCATAATGTTCATCAAACACATCCTGATGCTGTTTGCCCTGTGATCTGTTGCCTGAGCTCCATCCTCACACTTTCCTCTCAATGAAGTACCACTCTAAGTTGTCCAAGACACTAGAGGAGAGGCACAGGTCACCAAGGTAGTACCCTGGCAAGCCCTAGCCCACCAGGCGGGACCTCCAAGGTCTGCTCACACACAGGGTGAGGTATAAACATTGAGCACCTGCCTGCACTGCGGGCGGCCGGGTGGCACGTGTCTTTCCTCATGCACAGCATCCCTATTCTCCCCTGCCTAGGAATGTACCAGGTGATCGAGGGCATCATCTCACCTGTCAATGACAGCTATGGGAAGAAAGACCTAGTGGCTTCCCATCACCGAGTAGCCATGGCCCGGCTGGCCCTGCAGACATCTGACTGGATTCGGGTAGACTCCTGGGAGAGTGAGCAGCCACAGTGGATGGAAACGGTCAAGGTGCTGAGGTAACAGGAGTCATGATGTTCTGTATTAACATTTGCAGATTGAAAGGATGGGACAGATTGCTGAGGTAGCCCCAGCCAGAACTTCCTAGCTAAGACCAGAGTAATGCCTCTGCTTATAGGGAGAGAGACCTGTAGATGCACCTTTTCAGAGGGGTCCCTGGGCAAAAGTAAATGAGCAGCTGCTAGCATTTGGGACTGTCTTGATTCCGAGGACCAGGGCCACTGTTACCATTTAGCAGCTCTGTGACTTTGAACATGTGACTTAACCTCTCTGAGACCTCTTTATCACTTGCAAAATGAAGACAATATAATTGAATGAAGATTTTAAAAACAGCTTTCCTGTCCTAGAACCAACAAATGGCCTTCATTAACTGGGACCTTTAGCTTCTTGGCATTGACAAGTTTGAAAACTGAACCTATATAATACTCCATCTTCCCTTCTTGTTTGCTAAACATAGACTCTAATGTAAAAGGGAAGGAGTTATTTTAAGAGCAGAGAGAGTTACTCCAGATTGTCTTTTGTCTTTTGGATTCTTAGTAGCATTCAGCATAGTCAGCACAGCTGTTTGAAAGCCCTGAACCAGCCCTGCACATTAAGATAGCGGTCACTGTCCTGGCTGCCGGAGGGGAGTAAAGCTGGCCTGCTTCATCACTGGTAATGGGCTGCTCGGCTAGAAGGCACGGTAGGGGTGTGACCTGTGCCTTTGTTAGGGAAGGGACCACAGAATATTCAGCAGCTCCGGTGCCACCTTAGAACCTGCTGCCAAACCGATAGGACACAGGTTTAGTAACCGTGTGAATACACGATCTCTTCCTTTTAGCCATCCCTTGGCATAAGCCTAATCTCACACTCAAATGTGCACCTAGAACATCCTTTTTAAATGAGCCTTTCTCATCGCTCGATTCTCCAGGCTAATTGAAAGGAGCAGAAGCAAGACAGCAGAGTATCTAGCAAATCATTGAGCTTTAATAAGTACTCAGTGACTAGGGCTTTCTCCCCATCCCTGTGAGCGCCACAGTTGCCTGGGACGCAGGCTTTGAAGCCAGATTTAACTGAATGACTTGATGAAGTGATTTGGCCTCCCTAAGCCCCAGTTCCTCACCCAATAAAATGAGAATTTCAGCACCTAACTTCCCTGGTTAGCACACCAGGTGGTTTTGATGAGATGGTGCAGGCAAATCAGCTGGTAGATGGTAGGTGCTCACTAATGTCATCTGCCCTCCCTCCATCTGTAATGCTGGCTGTGGTTTGTCCGCAAAACCAAAAAGCCATGCATGGACACAGAGCTGATGGCATAGTCATTTCGTGTTACTACTGCTTCTGCGGCAGAATGCCAGTGTGAGCACAGGTACTACTGTGGTGATATTTTTGTTTGTGATCTAACAAATAAAGCTTGCCTGAAGATCAGAGTGTGGAGCTAAGCCACTCGTTAGCCATAGAGGCCAGGCAGTGGCGGCACACACCTTTAATCCCAGCACTCAGGAAGCAGAGGCAGACAGATCTCTTTGAACTCAAGGCCACCCTGGGCTACACAATATTGATCCAGTCTAAAAGGGAAACAGAGCCAGGCAGTGGTGGCACACACCTGTGATCCCAGCCCTTGGGATCTCATGCCTTTAATCCCAACACTAGGGAGGTGGAGACAGGAAATAATATGGGTGGGTGGAGAGAGGACTATAAGGCGGGAGGAGACAGGAGCTCAGGACATTCATCTGAGGAGTTGGTGAGGTGAGAGGTGGCTGTGGCTTGTTCCTTTGTCTCTCTGATCTTTCAGCATTTACCCTGATATCTGGCTCCAGGTTTTATCACGACCACTTAGGATTCGTGCTGCATACTACCAAATGCACTCTTTCTCCTTTTGCCCGGTGCCCTTTGCTCAAGTGCTTCTGGACACTACGCACAGCAAACTTCCTAGGTCCACCACCCATGTCCCACCCCAGAGGCTGTGATCTCATCAGTCTGGGTGAGGAGGGAAGAGATCCAGTATTTCGGTTGCTCCTGGTGATTCTAATATGTATCCAGGCTTGAGTCCAACAGCGTCGGTCACTGGATGAGAGAATCAGGATTCTGATCAGTGTTGAGATCCACTTAAAGAGCAATTGACACATGGTCACAACCTTGGCAGCCAAAATCACTTGGAAAACATTCTTTAAGGTTCTCTTCCAGGCCAGGGCTTTTGCTGGCATGGACACTAACCACAGGCATTTCTTTCAAGGTCTCAGATGATTTATGGTGTACTGTTGTGGTTGAGACTTAGCCAACAGAGTTAACCATTTCTTATTAAGATTTTTTTTTTAAGGTTGAAAATCAGGCTAAAATTGTAAAGTCAAGTGGTTGTAGAATCATGGTAGAAATCAGCCCCAACGTCTGCTGCACTTAGTGTCCTCTTGATGATGGTCACAGTGGATTTACAACACAGCATAACAAAGGTCACTGTGATATCCGTTCACTGAGGGACTCGGTGGAGACTCTTTATTCTGATGACGTTTACATTTTTGCAAATGCCATAAAGTCTAGGCCAACTTTAATGAGAGAGCCTTGTCACCTTTTCCTTCCAGTGAGAAATAACTAAAAGGAGCCATTTAACAAGAAATCTTATTTTTGTTCACACTTTGAAAGGTTTCAGCCCTCATCTAGCATTGCTATTTCTGACCCATTGTGAGGTAGAGCATCAAGGTGGAAGGGTGTGGTAGAGCCAACTTACGCATTCCCTGGTGGCCAGGAAGCAGAGAGACCGAGAGGAGCCCAGAATAAGGCCCCCAAGTCATCCCCCCAATGACCTACTTTCTCCAATTAGACCTTGCCTCCCAAAGCTGCAGGCATCTCCTAGGAATGCCATCCAGTCACAAACCCACCAGTAGCCATTACTGATTTGCTGAGAACCCATCTTTCAATGACTGGATCTACAGCTAGGACCCAAGCCTTCAACACATAGGCCTTAGAGAGTACACTCAGTCACCAACCATACAGTGACTTACCTTTTCCTCATGTTTTGGGGAAGGCCTTAGTCAAAGTGCCACTTCATGTGGTCTGTCCTCCACCCGCATCACCTCATAAACCACTACAAACATGACCTCATGTCTTCATTTTACAGATGAGAAGCCGGAGGCTCAGAGATGCTCAGGTGATCTCAGTTACACAGTAAATATGCCAGAGGCAGAGCACCAGCCACTAGGCTCTGAAGCCATACCAGAACCAGCCTCTAAACAGAAGTTCTCAACCTGTGGGTCACGGCCCACAAGGGTCACCTGAGACCATCAGAAAACACAGATTTTTACATTAGAATTCATAACCGTAGCAAAATTACAGTTACAAAGTAGCCACCGAGTAATTTGATGGTTGGGGGTCAGCACAGCATGAGGAACTGTATTAAAGGGTCGTGGCCTTAGGAAGATTGAGAACCACTGCTCTAAAAAAATGATGCTGGCCGGGAATGTGAGGTGGCTGACTTTTCTTTTACCATAGTTACCCTTTGCTGGGGCGTCCCTGGGCAAGCTTCTGGAGACGCAGAAACCATGCTCTTGGGGTCAGTTCAGAGGCCTAGGACTGTGCACACTGGAGTACCACTCAGGCAGGCAGCAAAAAGCCAGCAAGGACCACTACCCCAAGGAACAGAGTCCACAGGGGAAGTGTGCTGAGTCTTGAAAGTGAACCGTCTCTCTCAAACACAGCTATAATGATGCTCCATTGAGTCCGGGGAAGGTGGAAGATAAATTGATGGACACAAGAGTGCAGGAGTTACAAGAGTGTTTGGCGAGACAAGAAATGCAGGAGTCTCAATCTGAAGATAGATTGCTTAAAATTGAGCATGTCAGATGTGCATACGTCTGATCATACCTAACGTGCTCTGTGACTTCACTTGGATTAACTCCCTTCATCTTCATAACTACCCGTTGTGGGGGCCACTGCCATCCTTCCCCATTTGCACTCAGGAACCATCCATGCTGACTGAGACTTGGAATCATTCATTAGGGTGACAGCCGGCAGTGGAGGTGGGGATTCAGCCCAAGCTGTCTCTCTCCAAGCCCAGGCTCTTAGCCACCACCTCATAGCATTTTAAAACACAAGTTTATGATAAGACTATTCTGGAGCCAGTAGGAGGCCACACTGTGCTGGGGCTTACTGTATGTAGCTCATTTACCTACACAGAATCCTGAAATCAGGTATCGCCACTTAGGCTTTCCAAAGGAAAATGCATGTTTACACTTACATCTGTCTGTTTTGGTTTTTGGTGGTGGTGGTGGTGGTTGGTGGGTTTTGTTGTTGTTGTTTGGTTGGTTGGTTTGGTTGGTTTTTGTTTTCTTGAGACAGGGTTTCTCTGTGCAGCCCTGGCTGTCCTGGAACTCACTCTGTAGACCAGGCTGGCCTCAGATTCACAGAGATCCGCCTGCCTCTGCCTTCCAAGTGCTGGGACTAAAGGTGTGCGCCACCACCATATGGCTGACATCTTTCTATCTGTTGTTGAGAGCTGATGCCTTGGTACCTACTCACCACTAATGCCCGTATTTCCAGCAGAGAATTGCTGGGTGGACAGGGTGGCATCAGGCTTACCTGCCCACTGCCACCCAGCTTGCCTGGAATGTGGTACAGTGAATGGAACAGGACTCTCTGTGGCATATGCTTCCTGTCCTACCCTGGAGCACAGCCTGGCACATGGTGGATCCTTGATACTAAGAAGCAAGTCTTGAATTCTGAGGCGCTGGGATGGTGTTGGGGGTCTAAAATACAACACACTTGAGCCTCTGTGCTTACACCACAGGCACCATCACAGCGAGCTGCTCAAATCCTCAGCCTCCACGGAAGGTCCAGACCCCAGCAAAACCCCGTCAGCCTCTGCAGGTGGGTGCTGACCCCTTGGTTCCAAAGGGGGGATTCAGGTGAAGACTGATGAGCCAAAGAGGTTTGTCCAGCCCTCAGCATGGACAAGAACTTGAGACCCGCCTGGTAGTGCAGGTCGGCCTGCACTGTATATATCCAAGGTCAAAAGGTCAGATTGGACAAACTCCACCTCACCCCATTAATTGTCCTAATTTGAGATTTGCTCTCCAAAGGAGTTTAGCCACCCTGTGACTTGTGCTCGTGACATGAATTACAGCGAAGGCCACACAGGGACAAACTGGTGACTGGTATTGTGGTCCTTTAAAACCCTTAGCCTTCTGCGTCTAAAAGGATAAAGTTTGGGTGAGAGACTCACACTCCTTAGCAGCCCCTCAGTGAGTTCCTCAAAGGAAGAAACTTAGTTTTAGGGGAGCTTGAGGTTCTCTTGGGTTAGCTTCTTAAATCAGAAACCCACATCTCTACTTTTTCTTCTCCTGCTGGGTAGAGGCAAGTCCTGTGGTTTCAGAGTATGCAAAGCCCTGGTGTCAAGGGGCAAAGGTGTGGCTTTCTCCTACAAATACTCAAGAGTGTAGGATGTGTCAGGGAGGGGGAGGATATAACGTAAGCTAGGAGTCACTGGCCCCGCTGGCCAACATTCCAGCAGGCCATGTCCATGGGCTTCTACTACAGGGTGCCCAACTCTAGTTGGTTGGACACTTTCATATCAAAAGGGCCCAAGACTACCAAGGCTAAATGCAACTAAAACAGTTTCTTCACTGCAGGGTTTTTCAGAACCTTTACCGTGTCCACGTATTTTATGACTTAATGAGAAAAGGACAGAGCCTAACACTTTTTAACCACGGTGCTCTTATGGTGTCTGTTGGTCATCAGAATTTTGAGAATACTCCCAAACACACCTTGGAAAGTACTTGAGAATGTCTCCAGGTCCTGAAATTGCCCTCAGATGCTGGTCAGAGATTACATGTGGCAGAAGTACCATGAGTCTTGTTAGAAACAAGAATTGCCAGACCACTCCCCAGACCTCCTGAGGGAAGGGCGCTGGGAGTCTGATGTTTAGTGATCACTCAGAAACTGTCACGCCACCACTTTGAGACTGTATGCCGGAATGAGAGTCTAAAAGGGAATTGCAGGGCTGCCACTGTAATCCATACACGTAATATTTACTGTACTCCTCTGGCCTGTCCTCCTTACCTGTTCGGGCGGGCTGCTCCGTTTCCAGCCCCAGATATGGACCGTGGACAGGATGCCCTCTGCACATCATAGACATCCCCTTCTACAAAGTCCTACATAATGCTGGTGGACACTATGAGAGCCAGGCTCTGAGCTCAGGGGAGTGTAGGCACTCCAGCAGCCCCCCAGTCCATGCCTTGACACAGGGTGTGGGGTGGAGAGAAATGCAGGCATTCGTGTGAAAGGTTGCTGACAGCAGACAGCTACACCCACGTGTACAGGACCAGTGGGCTGTGGAGGGTAGAGCATCTCAAGGCAGAGATGCAGAGATGCAAGAGCAGGAATGTGTCAGCATGGGACACTGTAGACCTGGGATACATTAGGGACTCAAGAGAGAGGCAGGGGCAGCCAGAGGCAAATGGGGATGGCATGCTGAACCATAGCTCTTGTATTGCTTATTTGCAGGTGCTCACAGAACCCATTCTGCCTCTGCTTGGTACCTACTCCTCCCCTTCAGAGGGGAGCATGTCCTGTGAGGCATTCAGAACCCATATTCCCAGTGAAGCCCTAGCTGCTAAGTTTATATGACTTGACCCTCTATCAGGACCTCCCACCCCACGTCTGTTCCCTGTTCATTTCTCTGGGGGTTCCCATCTCTAATGACCGTATGTTTGGGCTCTTTCCAAGCTCCACGTGCCTCAGGCTCCCAGATGTCAGAAGTGAAGGTGTGTGCCACTGTGTCTCTCTTTTATTGTTTGTGCTATGAAAGCAGATCTCACGATGTAGCCCTGGCTTGTCCTCACAGAGAGCCACCTGACTCTGCCTTCCCAGTGACGAGAATAAAGGCGTGTGCTCACATAACCTGCTCCCCACCCCCATTTGAAAAACTATTTTTGTTAATTCTCAAGGATTCCATACTTTGTATTTTGAACATTTTTATCCCCCTCACCCATCTCCTCCCAGAGCCACTCCCCCATTCTGTACCCACCCAACTTTTTGTCCTCATTTTTTTAAACCCATGCAGTGGGCCTGAGCAGTTAAGAACACTCACTGTTCCTGGAGAAGACTGGGGTTTGGTTCCCAGCACCCACATGGCTGCTCACAGCCATCTGTAACTCCAGTTTCAGGGGAAGTGATCCGTCTTCTGACCTCAGTAGACTCCTGCATACACATGGTACATATGCATACACTAGGCACATACATGCACATAAAATAATATATTTTTCAAAACATCAAGCCCATCCGTGAGGCCTATGTACTCTTCAGTGTGCAGCCATCCATTGGAGCATCTTAGACTCACCGGGGGCCACACCCTTATAGACAACCAACTCTCCCTGTCAGTAGCTTCTCAATTAAGCATGGAACTGCATGCCCATCCACCCCTCCATGCTGAGATGTGTCTGGCTTGAGCTTAGACAGGACTTGGGCATACCGTCACAATGCCTACGAGTTCATGTGTGCAGCTGCCCTGCTCTGTCTGGAAAATCTTGTGTGTTTGTAGTCATCCACTGCCTCTGGCTCTGACTGTCTTTCTGCTCCATCTTCCAAAATGATCCCTGAGTCTTGGAAGGAGGGGTGTGTGGTAATAGATACTGCATTTAAGGCTGTGCAAGCCACAGTCTTGTACTGTCTGCATCTTGACCAGTTGTGGGTCTCTGTGTTAATCACCATATTCCACAGGAAGAAGCTCCTCTGCTGAGGGTTGAGAGATCCACTAATCTATGGGTGTAATGAGACATCATCAAGAATTGTATAATTTTGGGTCCCATTAGCGGGGTAATGGTAATAGGTTCTGTCTTAGGGCTCTCTGACCTATCTACCACAGGTTCCTGGCCCAGTAACTGCCTAGCCACACACACCTCTTTTTTTCTTACTTTTTATCTTGAGATGGGGTCTCACTAAGTTGCCCAAGCTGACCTTAAACTCTTGTATCCAAGGCAGGCCTTGAACTTGCAATCCCCCTGCCTCAGCCTCTTGAATAGCTCAGATTGCAGGCCTAAACCTTCAGGTCTAGCCAGCACAGCAGTTCTTTACAAGGGCAGAAAGTAAAAGCAACTAAGAATTTAAATGTAAAGGGACACTGAGTAAATGACATTGTATGCATCAAAAGAATCCGCATCAGGAGTTTCAAGGAGATGGGGAAACGCTGAGGAAGTAGGAGAAGCATCATATAATAATACGTGTATAACTTCGGATAAGAGTGAGTGTGGTTCCCTGTTGTTGGTGTGTCTAAATCAATATGGAAACCTAAGAAAACGCACCAAAATGTTGATGGCTGTAGAGCCCAGAATCAGCCTGATGGGTTGCTGTTGTTGTTTTCAGTTTTCAACATTTACAGCTTCCATATGTTCCATCGTGAACACACATTTCATGTTCATCATCAGAAAAAGGCAAAAAGCAAAAACAAAAAAAAATGAACATTTTAAAACAGGAAGGTGGGCTTTTCTCAGCAGAAGCTTGGGTTTTGATGGGATGGCACATATGTTACCAGGGACATGTTTATTTCTAAGGGCCATGTTGGGATCTGTGCATTTTATTGTGTGCTGTCACAGTCTGGGATGGCAGATCACATGCTGAGCTCAGCACTCGTGGCATCAGATCTGGGCCTCACTGTCACTTCCATAACTGGCAGACCTCCTGGACTCACTTGTCCTCATGCGGATTGCTGTGATGCTGGCTGCTGTGGGGGGGCACACTGGAATAGGTGACACCCCAGGGCCTTTACCAACAGCCTGTCTTCTGTCGGTAAGGGTGGTCCTGCCCTTGGCTGATAGGGCCGAGTCTGGTTCAGAGAACCAACCCCCTTTCTGTAAAAACAGCAAGGACCCAACCTTGTGCCTGTTTCACCAGGGATGGTTAGTTTGGGTGCTGACTATCAGGTCTCATTCCTGGATTCCTCTCTGGTGCCCTCGTATGTAGATCTCGCCTGGTGTGCTGGTTGGATGTCATCATCCATGGCTGTATTCATACATCACAGTTGACAGGCTTTCTCTCCACCTGTCCCTTCCTATAACTTCCATGGAACCTTTACTGTCCCCATCTTATAGCTGAAGAAATAGGCCCACAGGCAAGTCACTTTCCCAGGGTCCCAAGAAATCTGAAATTTACACCCAGCACTGACTAGCCTTGAAATCGATGCTCTTTAATGCCATCAACGTAGGGCCAGCAAACATCCAGGCGTCTAGGTTCTGGGGTATTTTCCTTGCAGCTTGCATACATTTTGGCCCATCTGCTTTTCATCTATTCACGTCAGAGTGGACTGCTCACCAGACACCCACAGACCTGCCACTCATGCCACTGTGTGATTGGTAGACGAGTCACACTGGCAGCCTTGATTCACTTTTCATCATTTATTTGGTGGGGGGTGGTGCCTGCGTGTATGTCTGTACACCATGCACATGCTGTGCACACAGAGGCTGGAGGAGGGCTTTGGATCCCCCTAGAACTGGCATTACAGACAGTAGTGAGCCACCATGTGGGTGCTGGGAATTGAACCCTGGTCCTCTGGAAGAGCAGCAAGTGCTCTTAACTGCCAAGCCTCTTTCCATCCTCCAGCCTTTATTCTTGAATTACACACTTTGGACCTGGACAGTTATTTGGTCTAAAACTTCAGTGGCATTTAAATGAATGAGTTTGAAGGGGTTCTGTGAGGCCTGGACACAGCAGCTCGGAGTTGTGGCCTGAGGCACATGTGATCATGTGAGTTCATCACTTCATTGTCTTGGCTCAGGGGGACGGCAGGTACCTCCAACCTCATAGACGTGCCTTTGATTGAGAGGCAGAGATCAAATCCTTTCTAGTCCTTTCTAGTCACAGCTCAAAGTGAATATCTTTTCTTACTGTCAATATTAATGAATCCATGTCTAATGTGGAAACCAAAATGTCAAAAAAATTCCCCCCCCAAAACCCACTAGGAGAATCTGGGGAGATGACCACACGCTTGCTGTGCCAGTGTGAGGACATACCTGTTCAGATCCTAACACCTATGTAAAAAGACAGGTGTGGCTATGTGTACCTGTAACCCGGACCATGGTGGGTAAGAAACAGGAATATTGCTAGGGCTTGCTGGCTTCAAGCCTAGCTCAAAAGTGATGTGCTTCAGGCCATGCCTCAATGGAATAACGTAAAGAGAGCAATAGAGGAAGAATTCAATCTCTCTCTCTCTCTCTCTCTCTCTCTCTCTCTCTCTCTCTCTCTCTCCCACACACACACACACACACACACACACACACACACTAAAGGGTGGAAAGTAGGAGAGACAGTGTCCCGTCTGTTCTGACCTGTAGAAACAGAGCGGATGTGCCCCAGGCCCCAGGAGATGCTGAAATCAAATGAGTGTCATTGAACCAGTTGTTTGAAAGACCAAACCCTGGTCTCTTACTTTCCTGCCGTGATTCAACACATAAGAATTAGAGCAAATCCTAACAGCTGCTGGAAAATACAAATCCCTAACAAATTAGTAAAGCGCGAGTTACTGAGTAATTTGTAGCACAATTTTATTGCTTTAGAAATAAGGAGATAATTCATACTTATTAGATGGATATTTCTGGGTAGAAGGATAGATAAGTGGATAAGTAAATGGATTAGTGGATGAATGAAAAGCAGTTAAAACATGTAACACTCTGTGCCAACCATGTTTCTGACTGTCATATTTGATAAACTGATTCAGTGCTAAAATAACCCCACAAGGTGAGCACTATAACATGCTCATTTGAAGTTGAGGTCACAGGAGCCACCAAATAGCAGAACTGGAACCAAGCCTGAGACGTCTGGGGCTGTCTGTGTGGTCACTGAGAGCCTTGTGTGTACTAGTCATAGAATGTTCCAATGTCGTTGACTAGACCAGTGTTCTGAGGCTACAGCATTGGAAAAAAAGGAAAAATCTCTTTGTATGATGATATCTGCTGCTGTGAACAGTCCCCTGGCCTGTCGTCTCTTGTAGGTGAGAATTCTTTATACACCATGGTGTCGTGTGTGTGTGTGTGTGTGTGTGTGTGTGTGTGTGTGTGTGTGTGTGTGTGTGTGTGTCCCGGTGTGGCAGCCCAGAATCTCTTCCTTACCAAGTCTTCAGGGTGACACAGAGGGAAGGCCAGCCTTTGCCATCTTCTGAAATCAGTTTCCAGAAGTACCAGGGACACAGAGTGTGCTTCTAGCATGGCCTGGCTTTCCTGTTCAGATTAGTCAACTCCAGATGAATGGTGTCAGCAAGTCAGCTAACCATTACCCGCCTTCTCTAGTGCTCCTGGGCTTCCTGTTCGTGGCGCACATGCAGATTCTCACCAGTAGGCGGCAGCAGAACCTAGCCACTACAGATGCCCCACCTGGAGGCTGGCTGCTGGTTTGTGTTCAGGCTTCCCAACTGAGCTCTCTCTAGCCTCTCTGTGCCTTGGTTTCTCACCCTGCAAAGTGGGCAGACCTCATAAATTTGTCCTGAGGGTCACATGTTATTACACGCATTATGCCTAGTAACAGTACCATACTAAGAACCTCAAAACACTTGTAACAGTAAGTGTTCTACTAGAATAAACTCTTCAGGACTGCCACACTGACCAACTGTCCTAGAGCTTTGTCATGTTGCAAACGAAAATGAAAAGGCCACCCGCTGGGATCTTAGAGACCTTGTAGTCATCCGGAGACCTTGTTGATGATGAACTGATGAAATGTTGTGAGGTTTTATATGAAAATACTAAGTCCTCAGGACTTAGAATAACAAGGGCTGAAATGGATGTTGGGGTGGCGGCTTGTACACCACTCACAGCTTCTTGATCTTGGGACTTTAAATAAAAGTCTCACTTCTCATCAGATAATGGACTTCTCTCTGAGCTGGTCCAGAGCAACCATAGACGGACTTTTGTAGTAGCACTGAGTACTGAAAGGCAAATTTTTTTGCTTGGCTTGACACTTTGCCAGTATTGAAGAAAAGCTGTGTTGCTGAAATCATGACTTACCATTGTAAGTCACATCACTTCAGAATCCTGTAACTTTGCTGGGGTCCCCCCCCCTTATTTTGCAGCACTGCCCGAGCTGAAACTCCTCTGTGGAGCAGATGTCCTGAAGACCTTCCAGACCCCCAACCTCTGGAAAGATGAGCACATCCGGGAGATTGTGGAGACGTTCGGCTTGGTGTGTGTGAGCCGGAGCGGTCATGACCCGAAAGGGTACATCTTGGACTCGCCTATCCTCCGACAGTTCCAGCACAACATCCACCTGGCCAGGGAACCCATTCAGAATGAGATCAGTGCCACATACATCAGGAAAGCCTTGGGCCAAGGGCTGAGTGTGAAGTACCTCCTCCCCGACACTGTCATCAGCTACATCAGGGACCACAGCCTCTACATCAGTGACAGTTCCTGGAAAGGAAAAGGAAGGAGTAGCTAGAAGGCCTCCGAGAGTGGGCAGTTCTGGGCTTTGTTTTGTTTTGGAGTCTGTGTTTCCCTTTCTGCTTGTTTTGTTTCTGTGGTGGCAATGCCATTGGTGACTTCCTTCCCTGACAGACTGTTCCTATGGCTGGGATAATTGTGTATCAGAGCAATTTAAATGGCGTGGCAGGTCATCCGATTAGACAAAACCTCTCAGAGCCACTGGCAAGGAGACCTGTTTACTTTGTGTAAATGGAAATGATAGGATGTACATTGATGTTATTCTGAACATGGCAGGTCCCGAGGGGTCAGATCAGTTGCCCTCGTGCATTTTTTTTTTTAAACTCAGACCAGGTGCAGTATACTGGTCTTGATTGGAAGGATTTGACAGGGTGCTAATTACTGAACAGGGGACCTTTGCAACGTCCTTGTTTCAAACAGAATAATACCATGTGAGGATTCAGAAATCTGGAAACAGTACATCATGATTTCCAGTGTATTCTCCCTTACAAACAATTGCCTGCCTGCCTGCCTGCCTGCCTGCCTGCCTGCCTGCCTATGGTGTAGCATAAAAAATTTTGACCACACTCTTTCTATGTTGTAGTCAAGAAATACGTATAAGATTTATTGTATGTGTGCGTGCGTGCGTGAGTGTGTGTGTGTGTGTGTGTGTGTGTGTGTGTGTGTGTGTGTGTGTGTGTATGGGCAAATGCATGTGAGAGGAAATCAGAGAGGGACCTCAGAGTTCCTGAAACTGGAGTTATAGGCAGTTGTGAGCCACCTGATGGATGGCAGAGCAGCAAATGCTCTTAACCACTGAGCCATCTCTCCAGCCCCGTCAAGCAATATTTTTGATACAGCAAGTATTTTTACACTGCTATACTCTAAACACCAGGGTTCCCGATATCCTGATTTCTAAAAAGGAACTGAAGTAAAACAGATGCCTGGCTGTTTTAGAAGATCTGTTGAATGTTTTATGACTGCCTGACTGTTTGAATATTGGCAAAAGGATAAATAATAAATTGACATCAAAAAGTACTAATGAAAAGTTTCTCTTTTTTCCTTTGTTATTTTATTAATGCCCGGTGTTCCAGCTGTTGCTCTTCTTTTTAGCTACTCTGAAATTTGTTCCTGTTCCGATCGAAGTGGTATGAATTCAAGTTTGTGTCCTGAGTACTAGAAGTAGAGGAATGTCTTAGACAGATTAACAGCCTAGAGTCACCAGAAGAGCATCTCAGTTGAAGGATTATCCAGATCAGAATTTGGCCTGAGGACATCAAGAAGCTGCAGTGTCCAAAGGACCTTCTTTCAGAGAAGACCAGTGGGAGGTCCCCTACCACGCATGAAATCATGTTCATTCTAGGGCACACAGTGCCATTGCATAGGAATTGGAATACCCCACCCCTGACTCCCAGGCACCCCCGCTTCCGTTCTTCCCTCTCTCGGTGCTCACGGTATCTTTCCGGACTAAGTGTTTACAGCTGAGGACTCCTCACAGCCCAGCCTTCTCCATGGGCATCCAGGGCCTGACAGGTGGAGGCTCACTGCTGGGAGTTGGTTATTTCCTTGTTGTTATTGAACTTTAGGATTCATTTATTCAGATCACAGTTATTGAGGTCCTTGCATGGGCCAGGGGTGTAATGGCGAACAGACAGGGTCTCCATCCATAAAAGCTCATAGCACAGTGAAGAGCAGACAAGAAACCAGCACTGATGAGGACTCTGAAAGTGACACTGACAAGGTGATGGCCAGACAGTGGGTTCCCTGTAAAGCTAATGAAGCTTGCACATTGGCTTCCTTCTTTCCCACATCCTAATTATATAGGGATCTGAGTTCCTGATTCTTGGTCCTTTTTTTGAAAGGGGTCCCTTTGAACTTGTATACGGTATAGACTCTCAAAGTGGTTTTCGCTGATGGTATAGACAGCAGAGAAACTCTAATGGATGTGTTACAGAGACTTTGGGATGGATGGAGGCAAATGGCCTTGATGCCGAATGGCATATACAAAGGCCCTGAGGCAGAGGGGGCACCATGGAGAGCTGGAGTCATCATTACCTCCTTCACAAGGTGCCCGTTACTACACTGCACCTGACAGCGGGTGCCCTGCATGCCAGTCCCCCTTCCCAGCCTTTCCATAGGTTTAATGGGCTTTGAGGGCATGCCGCCATCTCCCTGCTCCATGTCTGTGTCATGCAGTTCCCAGCAGACATCAACTGTTTCCATAAGAAAGCACAGCAAGACCTATGCTGTGTATGTATGTATTATGTATGTGTACACATACACTCACATATATCTTAATTCCCGTCACCTGCCTGTCTCACTGATTCATGTCACCTCCCTTAGTAGCAGAAGGGAAACGATGTCTCACTGCTCTGCCCCTGATGCATTTCCTGGCACCACGCTGTGTAGGGATTTCACATTCCTCTCTGCTCCCTCAGGTGTCCTCTGCATCTTGATACCTGGCTATTTTGTTTCTTTTGCAAGAACAGAAAAACAGTGGTTCAGGCTCCTGGGTAAATAGAATTTCCAGCCTTAAATAAAGGATCTCCTAGGACACTATTCGACACCCAAATGAGAACAGTGCTGTATCCTTGCCTGGGGAAAGAAATTCTCATTTCTAATACTGTCTGTGTCACTTGGGACAGAATGATGTGAAATCCCATTTCAAACCAATAGAGCTTGAGCTTTGGGAGGCACGTTTGGTAATTGAGTTAATACATGAATATGTATTTCCTTAGCCTTATCCTCACATTCTGTGCTGACAGTGTTGCTGCCCCAGCCAGTTGTAGAGGTCTTCATACATCATAGTACCCGGTGTCAGTCATAAAGTTATTTTCTTAGCCCCAAACCTGACATTATAGATGCAAATATGAGTGACTGATAAATATATCTCTGTAGTGATTCACATAGGCACATGCCTTTGAATAGTTTAGTATTGTTTAAATAACTTGAGCAAACATTGGTCTTGACAGCACAGGCTGCAGGGACAGACTATGAGAAGGACCCTAGAGTTCCCTGGGACTCACGTTTCCAAATTAGCAAACGCTGAGTGAGTGGGAGTTGGAGCAGGAACAATAGTATGCTCTTGGTCAGGCTTGGGAAGCCCTTCCTCACCTCCTGTTGGAAATGAAATGGGCCTCGTGCCCTGTCGATTCTACCTTCTGTGCATCCTTCATGTCACCCCCTGCTCTGGTTTCTTTTCTGTTGCTGTGATAAACACTGTGATCAAAAACAAACAAGGGGAGCAAAGGGTTTATTTCATCCTCTACCTACAAATTACAGCCCATCATGATGGAGTCAGGGAGGAACTCAAGGCAAGAACCCAGAGGTAAGATTGCTATTCTCTACAGCTTTAATTCTGACCAGTGAATGAACTCACAGCCCACAGAGTACACTGCAGGAGCCATGGGGGCTCGCTGCCTGGCTTCCCGTCATGCTCATACTTAGCTAGCTGTCTTATACAGCCTGAGGAATAGCACCCCACACACACGGTGTGCTGGGCCTTCTTCATCAACGAGGACAATAAGATAAATCCTTCATAGACATGCCCTCGGACCATACTCAGCTACACAGTTCTTCTGTTAAGGCTTCTCAGATAACTCTAGGCTGTGTCAAGTTGGCAAGGCCAACCGAGATACCTAAAGACATCTAAAGCATCGTCAGCTCTTACCTTGACCAATGCAGTGACCTAATGGGGTGTCCCATCCTACTCCTGGCTCCTGCAGTCACTTCTTCACCTAGAGAGTGAGTGCGCATGCACATTCATGCATACGTGTTCAAATATAGTCATATTCCCTACTGGCGTTCCTTCTGGAAGAAGCCATTAAGAAAAACAGAAAGATAGCTGGGCAGTGGTGGCACATGCCTTTAATCCCAGCACTCAGAAGGCAGAGCCAGATCTCTGTGAGTTCGGGGCCAGCCTGGTCTACAGAGCGAGATCCAGGACAGGCACCAAAACTACACAGAGAAACCCTGTCTTGAAAATTTGTTTTTTTTTTTTCTTTAAAAAAAAAAAAAGAAAGAAAAGAAAAATAAAAAAAGAAACCACAGACTAGGGGGGGACATTTGCCAGATTGCCAGATGTGTGTATCTGATGTATGTATCTAATAAATGAATTGTTTCCAAAGTGTGTCAAGAACTCTAAAAACAAAATAGCAGAATCAATAGCACAAATTAAAGCTGATCCAAAGAGTTATGTGCTGGAAAGGATAAAGCTTTCCAGACCCCCAATGTTGCTGGTCAGAGAGTCTGCTGGTGAGGCTGATCTTGCTTTGCATCCAAGAACTAACTCACCTTGCACAATGTTGCCTGTGTTTCTAACTGGTTGGCTTTTGTCTCTTCTTGAGATACTGAAGATAATCCTGTTATACCACCCTGCCTGGGATGTTCATACAATGCCATTTATGGAATTTCGGTAGCCATGGCTGGTTGTGTACCAGAGGTGCCTATATCACCAACCCCTGAAGCCTGACTCCTTCAAACAGGTCATCTGTAGTGGAACACCCACAAGACACCTTACCAATGACAAGTAGTCACATGAAAAGGTGCCCAACATCATTAGATATTGGAAAAATCCAAACCTAAACCAGAATTAGATGTAGCTGGAGTTTTCTCCAGTTCCACTCGGGTCCCTACAGTTCTACCGCCCACTTATAAAATAATCACTCAGAAGCTCATATTAGTTAAAATTGCTCAGCCATTAGCTCAGGCTAACTATTGACTAGCTCTTACATCTTAAATTAACCCATTTCTGTAAATCTATACCTTGCCACATGGCTTGTGGCTTACTGGTATCTTACATCTTGTTTCTCATGGTGGTGGCTGGCAGCGTTTCCTCACTCAGCCTTCCTGTTCCCAGAATTCTCCTTGCTCTTTGTCCCGCCTATACTTCCTGCCTGGTTACTGACCAATCAGCACTTTATTTATTAACCAATCAGAGCAACACATTCACAGCATACAAATATCCACAGTACTTCCCCTTTTTCTTTTCTTTTCTTTTCTTTTCTTTTCTTTTCTTTTCTTTTCTTTTCTTCAAAAAGGAAGGTTTTAACTTTAACATAGTAAAATTACATATAACAAAACAATTATCAAGCAAGAATTACAGTAACAATATCTAGTCTATTTATATTATCTAGTCTATTTGTATTTGGCAAAACTAAAGAAGATAACCTATCTATCCTATATTTGTGAGTCTAAGGTTTTATATCTAGCTTATCTTTTATCATAACTAAGGAAATAACTGTATAGTCTTCAACTACATCAAAGACCTCAGAAGGATATAATATTACCTGAGAAATGGGAGAAGGATGCAAGCAACTTTTGGGAGTCTTGTGAGAGTAGACAGAGACAGCTGGCAGCTTGGACAGTCATCTAAAGTTCCTCTGTAAAGTTGGGGCATCTGTCTTTAGCCCACAGGCCTGGAGTCTCTCAGTCACTTTTTTCTGTGTCCTGTAGAATGTCTGGCAGTTTCCTCTGCGAAGCAGGAACCTGAAGGACCATTTTGCCAATCAAAGTTCATTGGTCACCTTCCTATGGGTCCTGCATGTCCAGTTAGTTGATCAAGCAGTCTCAAATACCCAAATGGCTATTTTTGCCAAGAAGATAGACTCCATACGGAGTGTCATGAATGCCCATCTTTCTCTCTGAAGCAAATCAGTGCTGCCAGGAGCAGACATGCCTCACTGTTCAGAAAGTCTAAATTTTTAAAAATATTTTAAATGCCATATTCTGTAGGTCTTTGAAGTGTTTGAAGATTACCTGCCTAATTGAATTATATCTGAGTATACCTAGAAAACTTAACATGACTATAAGTTTGCCTATCATAGAAGACTAATTATCAATCTGTATTTTTAATTATCCATTACAATCTAAATGAGTTACATAAACATAATACCTCAAACGAGAGTAGAACAAAATCAACTCTAAATTTGTATCAATAAACTAAAATCTATACAGATATCCACAGCAATGAGACATCATGTCACACCTACTAGAAGGGCTAAAGTCAGCCCAGCAATTCTACTTCTAGGAATCTACCC